ATGGACCACCTATTCATATCCATCTTTAGAACTCATACTGTAGAAATGTGGCCCAACTCGCATGAAACAATTGTTCATTAAAAAATAGTACCCCCCATATTTTACGTCGTCAAATACCATTATTTGAGAGCCCATATTGTATTTCAAAATGTTTCAATTAAAATCCAAATCAAACTTTGAGCATCCATACTTATCATCATGCACCACTGAAAAATACCATAGATTAATTTGAAAGGAATAAATTAACCAAAATAACCGAAAAACCCCTAAAACTTCTAGTAATATTTTGCTCTTTGAATTTATTTTTCAAATTTTATGAGTGGATGCTTAAAATTGAGCTTGATTAAAAGAAAAACCGAAATACAATATCCACTCTATCAAAAAGTGAGACTTGAAGATAAAATATAAAATACAAAAGACTATCACTTACTTATGACACTGATCAACCGGGGTGCTGCCCTACTTTGAAAACGACTCGAGGTACCACCGCCGGACGGGAAGACCTCTTAAGGGTCCGGTCAACAAGGTTGCCCCAGGCACGTGTAATTTTGGTATCAAAATTTTTTAGGATGACCAGAGAATCCATTTTGATCTCTAATTATAAAATTCTAAAGTAAAAAAATGATTCAAATCACATAGATCTATAAACATATGAAAATCTTAAAAATAGTCCGTCCAGATAATGTGTAGTAAGATAATGTGTTGTAAGATACCTTATTTTTTAGACTGAAATTTTTTTTTTTTTCATATTCATTCCTCTCGATGACGAAATGAATAATTCTTCTTAATGACGAATGAATAATTAGAGGATTTTTTAACATTGAAACCGCCTTCCTTCCATTTGAGGTACCACCAATTTTTTTGACTTTACCAAATCCTTAATAAAAAGACCATGTCAAGGTTTTCCTAGAGGAAAAAACTAAAATAACAACATAACCCATTCCAAAAATATATAACCTGAAAGTCTTGATGCTCATTTCTTTGAAGATGAATTCCTTGAGAAAAAAAAGAGAGTAGAATTCCATAAGCTTCAGCCTAACAAAAAAATTGAAACCATCCCACTTAAGCGAAGTGAGAGAATCAGGAGACCTCCATCTCTTTGCACTTCCCTTGTGAAAGACTATGAGAGGATTGATGAACTTTATTTTTACCTACATGCTATATCTTGTTCGGATCAGAAGTTATGAAAAGAAACCATACAAGACGAGATAAATTCAATTATAAAAAACCATGTATAGGAATTAGTTCTATTAACACCTAGCCTTAGATCCATTGGATGTAAGTGGATATTAAAAAAAAAACTGAACTCCAAAAAGCATATTGATAAATACAAAGCAAATCTTATAGCAAAACGTTTTACTCAAAAGGAAGAGGTAGATTATTTTGATACTTATTTACTTGTTACCAAAATGACTTCAATTAGAATTATTATATCCATAACAACCTGTCTTGACCTAGAATTGCATCAAATAGATGTGAAAACCACCTTCTTAAATGGTGATCTAGAAGATATATACATAAAACCAACCCAAGGTTTTCACACTACAAATCACTTTATGTATATGTCCTCTTAACAAATATAACCCTTGGCTCATATAAAACAAAATATCATTAAACAACCTCTTATAAAACAAGCAACCAAATACCAATCTAATCCCCTACCAAGAGATCAATACCCAATTGGACGGTGATCCTAGAGTGAGACGTCGGGTGCCATGTGGCAGCCCTATGGCCACTCGAAAGCCACATGGCACTACCAGGTCAAAACTACAATGAAATTTGAGTCAAACAATTTGAAAACTCTCAAGCAAATAAAATTCCGAAAAATTCTCTAAAATTTACAATAAATATTAAAAGTACTTTTAAACAATTATTAGGTTTATTCATCATTATAAAATCGGACAAAAAAGTTATAGAGAGATCCTAGGCTAAGAACTATAGGTATCAGAATACTCCATTGGGCTAGTCCCAAATAATGTTCTGCCGAATCTCAGATCGACCCAATAGACTTATGTTCCATAGTCTAAAGCCCTAGAAGAAAAATCTAAAATAACAGCATAACCCTTTCAAGAAATATATAACCCTCTAAAACTGACCAAGATAAACCAGTAAAATGTAAGATGATGGTGCTTACATAAAATATAAAAACAATTATACTAAAAGAAAAAACAAGACAGAATCATTTATTCAGAAAAAAAAACAGGAGACTGTTTAGCCCTGCAAATCAATGAGATATAGAAATAGATCAATTACTAGTGTACCATTGATCTCTTTTCATCATAAAGGTAGACAAACCAAGGAATCTCATAAATGTATCACTCCAAAAATTTCTCAATGCGCCTACGCATCGCGAGGAACCATGAGAGTCAATCCAAGTGAGGGGCCACTTAACAACCAAAGAGAGCTGTATGTCTCTAATGTTGCAGGCCTGAACAATCAAATTGTGCCCAAGAAATCAACTGGGATGCTTGGGTAGAAGAATCACCAATCTCAATCTACAGTTCTGAATGGATTATGGCTACCTAATAGGACTTATGTAATACCTGCATCAAGTAAAGGCAATCAGAATGACACAAAAATGGGGGGGAAAAAAAAATTTCAACAGTTTTCGTCATTTTTTTCAGGGAAAGTATGCTGTAGCCTAATGGACTATAGGATCATAAGCCATTGATGCTGCAGCCTAATGGACTATAGGATCATAAGCCATTGGGATCATGAGACTCATGACCATCGGATGAAGTGATGGACGGTGATGGAGAGATTGGGAGACCCCTCAGGACAGGACATGACACCCAATAGGCGGCCCCACTCTCCATCTGTTAACCATTTCATCAAACAGTCATAATCCCCATGTGGGGTCCGATACCCCTTTTTACTGTTCATCATGAGCCTAATGGTGGGTACAGTCCATTTATCATCAGATGGTCATGACCCCAATGCACTATGTCCATTGGACTAAATTACACTTCCCATTTTCTTCCTGAACCTACATTGGACATTGTATCATCAATGCCATAGCTTGCTACAAAATCCGTTTCGCGGTCTCTTGCTAGAGACAATGTCCAGGAAAGAATCCATTAGCTGCCCAGCCAAGCTGCCTGGGTCATCAACCAGGGTTTGTATAAAAGTATTGACCACCCGCCTCTCTTGAGCAGTCGATCTCAAACTAAACCACGTCAAAAACTTCATCCTAAAATCCCTCTCGATGTGGCCCTCACACTCCAACCACCTAATAATCTTCACACAGTATTCATAGCTCTCATCCAACCCCATAGACCCTTCAGAGAACGAAATAGGAGATGACCCATTGATCAAAGTGCTATCGCAGTCATGGGTTTCTTCATTCCCGTTCCCCACGTGCTTTCTCCTGAGATCAGTTCGAGATTCAACTGCAGGAACCTCCCTGGCTGGTCTGACTGCCCAATTTTGAGAATCTCCACTCCCATTTGATCTCTCCTGACCATTCTTATCACCTCCACGCTCTGAGCTCCACCCCAGAGCCTCATTTCCATGCTCCAAGCTGCACTCAATATACTCATCTCTGGATTCATCCAACAGTGGGGTAAGCTCAGCATTTAAATCCGGAACTGAGACCATATTCAAATCAAGGCCATGAGAAACAGATGATGGGTCTCCATCCAAGATCTCTGCTTTCACTATATCATCACCCTTTGAGCCATCTGCTTGTTCCTTATCTTCCTCAAAATACCCATTAATACAACCTTGTTCTTGGGCCCATGCTACCCTTAGAATTTTCCCGAGATCTCTGACTTTGAAACCAGAAGCTCCACCATTCGCTTTTGCCTCTTTCTTAACATTTGTTGAGCTCCCTTCAATACCCAAGTTCTCAGTTTTATCATCTAGGGATACAGTGGGCTCGGTGCTCCTGTGGACTATCTCTACGCTCTTGGTGAAACACTTGGATTCAGAGTGACCCAAGTCCCCTTCATCAGTGAATGACCTTATCCTGAATGTGTACTCTGTGCAGGGTTGGAGGTTCGAAAGTTGAACCCTTCTCTTTGATTTTGGCAAGATGCACATTGGTTCCTTCTCATTCATCTGCTCTCTACTTCTATGACACCAAAGTTTGTAACCCTTTATGTTGCTTTTGAGCACAGAGGCCGCATCTTTCAGTACAATCATGAGAGAAGAAGAGGTCACATCTTGAAACTGGACCCTGCAAGCAGCAGGAAGTGAATCCTCTGCATTGGAGAAGAGGAGCAGGTTTACCAAGATTAATTATGAAAGGCTTATAAAACTTGAGAATCACTGCTTTTTGGGGAAGGTATGCTAAACCAATTGACAATGCAATACAGTCCATCAGGTCATCACTGCTAATGGAATGGATGGCTATGAAGCGCAGGCCCCATCAATGGGGTCATGTTATGTTCTGGTGGGTCCAAATCTCCATCACCATCTGCTGTTCCAATGGACGGCGATGACACAATGGACAATGGTTTTTCCAAGGTCCATGGGATTTAAACTTTCCCCTTTCTTTTGATAAAACATAACTCAAGATTTTGAGAGAGCTCACCTCTGTGAATAGAGTTGCTATGGCCGATAGTGGTCACCCAAGATTCTGCCTTCTCAATAGCAAGAGCACAGAGTTTTTGAACTTCAGAAGCCACAGAGAGCCTGCTAACAATGCCACGAGCCATCTTGGCTGAGACACCATGAACAGGGCCCACCTCAGTTTCAAGTTTCGACTTTGCGTCTTCGACAATTTTATGGATTTCTTGGAACCGAGATGTTCCATCCAGAAGCCTGTGACTTAAGGATATTCGGTAGCAAAGAATATCTACACGCCGTGCATCTTTGGCTATTAGTAATTGCTTCTTCCATGTTCTGCGCAGAAGCTAACAAATATCACAAGCAAACCATGAAAATAGGCACCATAAAAAAGAAAATAGAACAGTATGTGGATAAGCATATGATGAAGCTCGAATTAAACGTTAGTAATATTAGTGGCTTGGAAACTGTACAAGACTACCACCAATCTAAAATGAGCCCCAATACTTGAAAACATAGAACCCAAAAATATTTTAAAAAAAAAGAAGTCGGAAAGGAAACAAGAGTTAATTACACTGGCAGCCAAGCCAGAGCCACGCAGGGATTCAAACTGAACAAAAACACCAGCCCAACTAATTATAAGACCAACAAACCAGGACTGAAATAATTTCCCATCAACGTCTTCATTCAACGACCAGTTTGGCTTTAACGAGACAGAATCAAGCAAAAGTTACTACAAGTTCACTCACCCAATAATGCCCGAGACTTTTCCACAAGATGCACAGCAATAACTGCCATCTAAATGCATCAACTGACCAAGATCCACAACCCCAACTTTGCGGTATTGCAAAGCACATTCAACATGGCAAGATAATCCACATACATCTCCCTCACTAGTCTCAGATGAACATACCAACCAAAGACTTGGGTCCTTGTTATCATCAAACTGATGGCAAATACAGCAAGAGCACCTCCTACAAAATGCATCCTCCGAGGTCAAATTTGCTCTACAAGCTGCATTCTTACAAATCCAGGAGCTAGGGCACCCACTACTAGGGGAGTCATCAGATACAGATGGAAGGCGAATAGGGTTCTCCCCTTTCCTCGGCTGTTTTCTAGAGAGAGATTGAGAATTTGTTGGTGCTGCATTACCCGAAGAGGTTTTCTTGTTCTCGTGGTTCTTGCTGCCTTTGGTGAACACAGGTTTCAGATTTTGTTCGGTCATTTTACACTTTGTCGCACTTGATTGCTTTCTTTCTTTCTCGAAACGCATGCGATACGCAAGTTCCTTCTTCGAGCATGACTGGAGGAATGCTTGGATGCTTTCTTGGGTTTTTGAACCATCTTGGGCGACTTCCTTTTTCCCTGGTGAGCTCAGCACCTCAGAAGACAAACTCTCTAAGCCAAAGCCAGGGAGAATGGAGATAATCAACAAAGTATCATATGTACATAGTTCTAAATCACTAAGGCAGCAAAACTAATACATGCACACAAATTCATCACATCCTTGACGAAGGAAAAGAGAACTCTGCTGTAGGGAGAATAGACATTTAAATTGGATTAAGGAATTAAGATAACTCAATAAACTCTGATATACATTAAATACTCAATCAAAGCCAGGTTCATACCTTTAGCAAAGGTTTTTTCATCTGAACCCATCACTCTTGGCATCAAGAAGAACTTCAATCATTGCACCTTAAATAGCAAGAGGCATGAATTACTAATTGTAAAATCTTGACACACTTTGAGAGGACTGCCACACAATTAGAACATAAGATCGCAATTGCTTCCTTATGGATATCCCTCAAATTGATAAAAACATGATAAAAGAAAACAAACATCTCAATAACAATAAACAGGTTTGCAACGAACAATAATTTACTTAAGCATAATACACGCTCCCAACTACACATAGCAACCACATTATGTCGTACATGACTCTGGGAGCTTGGAAGAACAATATGTTGATTGGCAATTAACATATCTAGTTTATATAGATAAGATGTCATAGTTTTGCTTCATGGGTTGAACAGATGTCCTGTTCTGGATACAATTGCAAAGTCAAAACAACATAAGTTTCCTATGAAATTAATTGAGTGTAACGTAGCGGCCTAGGCAATCAATCTTGCTCTATCATAAAAAAAAACCAAGTGAGAAAAAAAAATTTCAACTTCACAAATAGGCATTATATAGCATTTCAAATAAACCAAGATTAAATTTTGATTCAGTCTCAAATTAAGCAAGGTAAAGAAACCCAATTCCAAACAGATGCCAATGCACCTGAATTTTTGACTTTGCCATCAGGATATCGAAGTCTCTCTTCCAAAGTTGCATCAAAATTTATTCTTTGATTTCTCTTTGTTTATAAAAAAGGTTAAATCTTAACCCCAATCAATTGAGAGTCAGTTCAAGACAAAGCTCACAGTAGATGAACTTTGGACTAAAATGAGAATGCTAAAATGATATGTCGAGAAAGTTAAACATAGTTTGCCAAAAAAACCACAAACGAAGCAACTCACATTGTTAACAAAATGAATTAGTATCAAACAATAAATCACATTATTCCTTCCTCAATAAAGAGAATCTCCAGAAGGCAGAGAGAGAGAGATAGAGAGAGAGAGAGAGAGAGAGAGAGAGAGAGAGAGAGAGATACTACCACGTATAAGATATTAGTAAGAAGAGACGTAGTAAAATAAACCTAACCTTAACCTAACCAAAGAAAATAAATTATTTAGTAAGGAAA